CCCAGGTGACCCAGAAGCTCTTCAAACCATACTCCTTTCATATGGCCTCCCCCAACATTACTCCAGTGGGTATATGTCACATTTTGCTTTTCTGTTCATCTGTCGATGAATACTTGGGTTGCTTCCATGTTTCAGTTCTGTTGACCATGTACTCAGAAGTGGAATTTCTGGATCATATGGCAATTTTGAGGAACTGCTATAATGTTTTCCATAGTGGCTGCACCGTTTGACATTCCCACCAACAGTGTGCAAGATTCCAATTTCTCCACATCCTTGCCAAAACATATTTTCTGTTTTTTTTTTTTTAAGAGACAGAGTCTCACCCTGTCACCCTCAGTAGAGTGCTGTGGTGTCACAGCTCACAGCAACCTCTGCTCTTGGGCTTAGGTGATTGCCTCAGCCTCCTGAGTAGCTGGGGCTACAGGTGCCCATCACAACACCCAGCTATTTTTTGTTGTTGTTGTTGATGCAGTTTGGCCGGGGCCGGGTTTGAACCTACCACCCTCAGTATTTGGGCCAGCACCTTACCCACTGAGCCACAGGTGCCGCCCATATTTTCTGGGGTTTTGATAGTAGACATCCTAATGGGTATGAGGTGGTAGGTATTTCACTGAAGTTTTGAATTTCCCTGATGATTAGTGATGTTAAGCATCTTTTCATGTTCATTTCTTTTGTTCGTTTTTTTGAGACAGAGTCTCACTTTATCACCTTCGGTAGAGTGCTGTGATGTCACAGCTCACAGCAACCTCTAGCTCTTGGGCTTAGGTGATTCTCTTGCCTTAGCCTCCCAAGTAGCTGGGACTACAGGCGTCCGCCACAATGCCCAGTTATTATTTTTTTTGGTTGCAGTTTGTCAGTGCTGGGTTTGAACCCACCACCCTCACCACCCTCGGTATATGGGGCCGGCACCCTACTCATTAAGCCAAAGGCACCGCCCTCTTTTCATGTTCTTATTAGCCACTTAAGTTTTTTGTTTTGACGACAGCATCTCCCTCTGTCTTCTTGGGTAGAGTGCTGTGAATCATAACTCACAGCAACCTTAAACTCCTGGGCACAACTGACCCTCTTGTCTCAGTCTCCTGAGTAGCTGGGACTACAGACACTCACCACAATGGGCTGGTTGATTTTTGCCTTTTTTTTTTTTCTATTCTTAGTAGACTCTACTAAGTAGAGACAGGTGTTGCTCTTTCTCAGGTTGTTCTCTGAACTCCTGAGCTCAAGGATCTTCTTGCCTTGGCCTCCCAGAGTACTGGGATTACAGGCATGACTCACCACTCCCCAGCCTTTTTTAGCCACTTGT